GAAGCAAAATAATTTTACGTCTTAAATTGCATTCGATTTCTCATTCACCGTTTTAAAAATATCGTCGACCTTACGGCAGAAAGTCTTGGAATTGCTATTTTTCTGGAACGAAAAAATCGTCGAGTTAAACGTATATCTTCCATTGCAAATATCTATTATTCCTTGTAATATAGTCCCAAAGGTAAGACATACTATGGTTAACAGTATTGCTAACGTTACTCTGGATATCCTAAAATTTCTTCTATTCCAAAAATCTTAATTTCTCTATCTCTCTATCTATTCCTGTATCGTAGAATCTACTTTTCTCTTTTTACATGGAATTTCCTAACAAAACAGCTTACGTTTCAACACTACCCTTCACCATTTGCACTGAATCCAGATCCACTATTTTCCTGTAACGAAAAAGTCGTCGAGTGCAAAGGTTAATTCGATATGAAAATAACGAAAAATTCTCCGAGTGCAAAGGGTTAATTCGATATGAAAATAATTAAAAATTCGCCGAGTGCAAGGGATTAATTCGATATGAAAATAATTAAAAATTCGCCGAGTGCAAAGGGTTAATTCGATATGAAAATAACGAAAAATTCTCCGAGTGCAAAGGGTTAATTCGATATGAAAATAATTAAAAATTCGCCGAGTACAAGGGATTAATTCGATATGAAAATAATTAAAAATTCGCCGAGTGCAAAGGGTTAATTCGATATGAAAATAACGAAAAATTCTCCGAGTGCAAAGGGTTAATTCGATATGAAAATAATTAAAAATTCGCCGAGTGCAAGGGGTTAATTCGATATGAAAATAATTAAAAATTCGCCGAGTGCAAGGGATTAATTCGATATGAAAATAATTAAAAATTCGCCGAGTGCAAGGGATTAATTCGATATGAAAATAATTAAAAATTCGCCGAGTGCAAAGGGTTAATTCGATATGAAAATAACGAAAAATTCGCCGAGTGCAAAGGGTTAATTCGATATGAAAATAATTAAAAATTCGCCGAGTGCAGAGGGTTAATTCGATATGAAAATAATTAAAAATTCGCCGAGTGCAAAGGGTTAATTCAATATGAAAATAACGAAAAATTCGCCGAGTGTAAAGGGTTAATTCGATATGAAAATAATTAAAAATTCGCCGAGTGCAAAGGGTTAATTCGATATGAAAATAATTAAAAATTCGCCGAGTGCAGAGTTCATTCGATATGAAAATAAGGAAGTTACGATCTCTGCTCATGAGATGATTCTCATACGAATCTCATATTGGAGGGGTTAGAAGATCCGATACGAAGGACAAGGTATGCGGGACAAGGGATTCGCGGATCGAAACAGTATCGCAAGCCACGTGCATGCGAGAGCGATCAGTCTCACGAACTTCCTTGCTTCTCGGTATCCCTCGTTAATCAACCTTTTCTCTACAGAGCGTCTGCCGACGTCGAAACGATAACGACGGTGACGTCACTGGACCACCAGACAGTACGTCGCCTAGAATCGGTATCAGCGCGAGCGGCCTCACGGAGTCCCAACCCCTAGCGCACCTACCCATTCGGGCTGACGAAATTGCGAGGAGAGGGAAAAACGAGAAGAAGGCTATACCACGAGTAGCTTCTCTATGCCCTTCGAAACTGTGCGACCTCGCGTCGCGAGAAACGGCCTTCCTCTTTTCCCAAGAAAGGGGTAGAAGAAGACGAGAGGTGCAAGAGAAGGAGAAAGACTGTTAGCGGACCAAACGATATCGGATTATGCGCTGACTTAGAAAACATCGGTATCGAGTATCGTGGAACGATGATGTAACGGTGACTTTGGTGGGGCCACAGGGCGGAACGAGCCCTATACGTACGAAGAGACACACAAATACCCTTTACGGTCGCACGCGATGAATGCTAATTCCCCTTTGGCCGTGCACTCGCTCCGCGTAGGCAAATATCGCATAAGCGTAGAATCTGATCTTTCCACGCTGGAATTTTGATTTTTATTTCGTTGCAATTGCTTCGTCGCAATTAACACAGTCAACCTGAAAACTATATGTCCGTTTTTAAACTTCTGATTAAATATTCTACTGTCAACTTAGTCACTTTGGTCACTTGATCTTATCATTTTCGTCGTGGTATAAGTATAATCGATTATTATAATATTCCTTCGTATCTTTTTTTCTTTTAATCTATAGGTTCTTTGACTACTCATGGTGGATTTGACATTAGCCATTTTAATACCGAGAATATTTTTTATTCTAAATTGTTTGTAGATAGAAAAGAAATTTTCTATTCTATTTTGTCGTTGAAAATGGTACATACTTTGTTACCAATGTTGATTTTCATTCAGTTTCATTGCACTCATGGTGGATTTGACATTAGCCACTTCAGGGCTGAGAATATTTTTAATTTTAAATTGGTTGTAGACAGAAGAGAAATTTTCTATTCCATTTTGTCGTTGAAAATGGTACATACTTTGTTACCAATTTTGATTTTCGTTTAGTTTCATTGTACCACCCACTATTATTAATCATTAATAAAGTACTTATCAAATTTCCTTTTCCAATTTGAATAAATATTATTAATACTGAACGAATCTTAGATTCTATCACAGAATATAATATACATATAAAAATAAAGAAATGTGCATAATTACATTCATACTCGTGACTTTTAAATTAAAACTTTTAATTTTAAATCAAATTAATTTCAACTCTGCCAATAGTTGCTGCACTTCTTCGGTAGCTGAATAAATAATAAATTTGCAGCTACTTAAATTGACTGAACGAATCTTAGATTCTATCACAGAATATAATATACATATAAAAATGAAGAAATATGCATAATCACGTTCATACTCGTGACGTAAATTAATTTCAACTCTGCCAATAGTTGCTGCACTTCTTCGGTAACTCAAAAAATAAAAATTTAAATTTAGACAGTTTCGTCTTTAAACAGTAGACCTGTTATTAAACAGTAGTTTGGACTGACAGGTCGGTACAATTTTCAAGAAACATTGCGATACTCGTCACAAAGTCTCTTTTCAAATTTCCTAATCTACCTAAATGACACTTGGACTGACATGTCAATACAATTTTCAACAAACATTGCGATACTCGTGACAAAGTCTCTTCTGAAATTTTCTAACCTACCTAAGTGACACCATCTAGATCACCTTGTCAAGACACATTCCCTCCCAGCTTCTGCAGTGAACGTTAAAACAGCGAACTGGATATAGGATTCCTCGATTCGAGCTCGCCTCTATCGGTGCCTATTAATTGACGAATGATTGACAGCGAGTTGACATTCAGCGCGATGATCGTGCAAGTTTACCAAGCGATTTGCTCGTGTTGCACTGGAACGTAGGTCGTAATTAACGCGGACAATGTCAGAACCGGGGAGTTTTGGAGCAATAAAGAAACAGGAAGCGCAGAGAGCGGCGAAGGATGAGTCAGGTGAGGTCCAGGAATTTGGCGGGCGCGTAAGGACGCGCAGTTATGGAGACCCGGAATCGCGTGGACACGTGTGCACGATGCATAACTAGGGGGACGAGCTTAATCTATCCTTAAAAAAAACGAGAGTAAAGTTTCGCGTGTGTAACCGTAGCTTCGATCCTGCGGTTTCCACGTCTCTTTTTTCGGATCGTTTCAGAAGAGAAACCTTGAGCAACGAGAGGCCGAACCCGGCCCGTGATTTATTGTCCTTGGTTAGAGATAATAAGGCACGATCGGCTGGGAAGATTCTTTCGAAACGAAGGATCTCCGTGCGCGGTCGCACGAATCTATTTTTTTCTCCCTCCTCTCCTCTTTTCCCCTTTTTATTTCCTCCCTTTTTCACCCAAAGATCGCTTACACGTTTGACGATATTGGCAAAAAAGACGCGGCCTGCTACGAGCTACCTGCCGGTACACGAGCCGTGACAAACGGCGACAATGATCGTTACATCGGTCGTATGATCCGTGATCGAACTGTTTTTCTCCCGTTCGAACAATTTTATTTCCGCCGATTATGACATTCTGCGTTTCCAATGTGCAATTACGAGCAATATAAATTACGCGTAATATTCGCAATAAGAGAAACGGGGTAATTTTGTCGTGGCCGCTTTCCAATCCATCCCGCGAGAAAAGCGATCTTCGGGTGCCCGGTACCCTGGTAAGTGGCTCCCGTGCTCACTGTCATCGTCTAATTGCGTAACGGAGGTTCATTATTTTCGGGAATAACTATGTGACTGAAATTCGAATGAAATTTGGGCCAATGAAACGAGTCGTCAAGTATAAATAGACCAAGAAAGAGAGAGAGAGAGAGAGAGGGAGAGAGAGAGGGGAACGAACTCTCCGTTTTCGGTCATTCGAGTAATTTACTAGTCGACTTTTCTTCGTTTCGCGATATACACGAGTAAAATTAGCATAAAAGATCGGACCGCGGAAGTGAATCGCGGGGGAAAGACAGAAACTCTGGCTAGTGAAAGTAAATCGTTAACGACGAAATAATTTCCAGAATACTACTCAATGAATTCGATTCCGTCACGCTCGGCTTATTCCTGAGATTTCATTTTCATTCACACCTATGGCAACCACACGCTCCACTTTCATTTTCTCCGTAAACGTATTACGCCTTCGATTTAATCCCATTCACCGAAATCGCGGTAAAATTGGGAAATTTTACCGGTACCCGAATGGAAAATGTAATATCGAATCACATGACGTATTCCCTCGCGGCTACAAAAGACGATTCGTAAGTCCGAGATCTCTTTCGAAGGTCTGTGCGACTCTACGATCAACGTCCGTACGACCGGAAGTACTGCCATAACTGCCTTCCGCTCGATGTCCCCTTTCCCCGTCCGACCCCCACCAGAAGTCACGTCGGTAATTATTGAACCATTGATGAACTTAATCTTCGTCTCCGTTCGTCGATACAGCGAGTAGATCGTGTGGACGTGTGCCGAAAAACGCCTCGGACGACGTTTCTCACGGGGAAGAACGACGAGTGTTCATGATAGAGGCTAGGAAGGAACTAGATGTGTATTCAGATGTACTCACGTAATCATCGCGAAAAAGTTCCGCGTGCATCAGCGCCGTTTTCGCTTGGAGGACCACTTGGTGCAGAAGCTGCGAGTCTGTTATCTGCACTACGTCCAAATCGGCGGTAGGGTCTTCGGCCGCTTCCGCAGCTAGGCCACAAGGATTCACCCACTTAGGGGGCGAGCTCAGTCGTCTGTTCTCGAGGGTCATCGTCGGAGCGCCGTGCACCGAGACCACGAGCAGGGTCACCAATAGACTGCCTAACCCTGAAAGCCAAATTCGAACGTCGGTATCAGCAACATGCTCTACGTTCGTATATACTCTATGGTCTGTAACTCGAGACTGCATGGGTGACGTCTCGAAACTTTAGAGAATAATAAACGAATAATCGAAGAGAAAGAGAAACAAATCTAAATAATAGAAAAATTATCGTGACAGAATTGGTGAAGGTGATGAAGAAATGGATGCTAGTAGGCATTTGGGCGAATAAAAGTCTGGATTTCAGTAGGGTATAAGTTTAGCTAGTTAAATACTGTCTTACTTCATAAAATGAGCTTCTTTTAGTACAGGCTAACAGATTTTAAGATAATATATAGGAGAAACATGACGGTATCTTCATTTAAAGGAAGATTACGTTAGTCTAGAGTACCCTAAATAATAGAATAAATAATAGAAAAATTATTATGACGGAATTGGCGAAGATAGAAATGGATGCTAGTAGGCATTTGGACGAATAAAAGTCTGGATTTTAATAGGGTATAAGTTTAGCTAGTTAAATACTGTCTTACTTCATAAAATGAGCTTCCTTTCGTACAGGCTAACAGATTTTAAGATAATATATAGGAGAAACATGGCGGTATCTTCATTTAAAGGAAGATTACGTTAGTCTAGAGTACCCTAAATTGTTTCATCTAGGGATACAGGGTTTCTAGAGGGTATACTAGGGTTTCTAAAGGATACATGGAAAACTTCTGAGGTATTAAAATAGCTAATTGTTCGAGTAACACGCAGCAGGATATTTCTATCTAGACTCTATGAAGAGTACCACGAGATACCGCAGTGTCACCGATCGAGAGTTCGGACGCTACCGCAGCGCCACCTGACTCTCGCAGCTCCCCAAGATGAACGAAACGTTGTCGCGCCATTTACATTTCGCGAATAGCGTCGCAGCATATTCGCGTTCGAATTTCACCTCAACGCCATGTGAATCTCGTCTAACCTAAAATGAACGAAGCTGAATCACGACTCGTGACATTTCTCGTCGTAAATCCGAGCAAAGGCGATGCGAAATTCGCCACTTTTCTGTAAGATTCTGGCAATGACCGTGGCCGGGGGAACGTTGAAATTAAGATTCATCGAAAGAACGTATGGAAGAGGAGAAAAACGAGGGAAGAAATTGAAATCGGAGGGCAAAAAAGGAGGATATCTAATAATCGGTTAAACGTGGAAGATTCGTACCACACGTCATGGTTGGCGTCGCGTTGCGCGGCCATTTTTCAGCACGCTCGGTGCTGGCATGAAATAGCAGGATCAAATAGAGTCGAAGCGTCGAAAATGCAGTTGGGTTAATTTCGTCGGTATCGGTGGCTTATATTCCGATTTCGCTGCTCTTATTTCCAATTCATGGCTAACTGCCGCGGTACGTTATTAACGGAATTGTCCGTGTATTAAGAAGATAAGAACCAGCTCACTGGTCGGTAGTAATCAACGATTTGACGTGAGACTCACGGGGAGGATGCCCTCGAGAGAAATCATCCTGGAGCTTCCGGCTTGTTGCTTCTACCTTCCCCGTGCTCCCCCCACCCTCGGTCGCTGTCTTCGTCGATAGTAAGCGCCTAAATGGTAGATTTCGATCGAGACCGTCTTATGATCATCCGGCAGTTTCGGGATCACCGCTCGTCGAATTACATCCACGCGAATTCGTCGTCGCATTATTTCACGAGTTACGACCCTTGATGAGGGGCCTGGGATCACGTGCACCGCTACGACGACAAACCATCAGCAGTCGCGTACGCATTCGGAGGATGTATAACCACCGCAGTCTACCGCGTACGAGTTCTCTTTCTCCGTTTAAGACATCATCCTCGTCTTTCTTCACCGATATCGTCCAGTATGCAAGCTTCCACAGCGGGTACCTTGTGTTTGATTTGTAACGCTAGTAGGATCGTAACGATACCACGGTATAAACGTAGTTGTCGGTTCTTCTAAACAGGGTTATTTGTCCTCAAAGTACCAACCTGTCTTCCACCCGACACACTAGAACGCGCAGAGATCAAACGTCGCGATAGCACGTCGCCGATATGCCTCTGCGTCCGTCTACGGCTTTGCACTTTTCGTCGCTGCGGATTTTCGTCGGATCACCGCGCAATTGGTACGATTCGAGAGAGCGAGAGAGAGACCAATTGGTGGCTACACGGAAGGAGCAATGGCGAGTGAAACGGCGAAAAGCAAAGCGGGAAAACCCGTCGAGGGCGAGTAACGGTGGTACGAAGGCCTGGAAAATGTAGGTATGTTGTGCGATCGTAGAGGGCGCTAACGAATTTAATTTTAATGTGCAGCTACGCGTGATGCAACGTGCATGACGGACGCGTTCTCGAGTCGCAAGGAGAAAAATAAGCGGACGAAGAAGGAGCGAGAGAGAGAGACGGAGACACGGCGAAAAGGAGGGAACGAGGAGGGGCGGCAGGGAGACACCGCGGACACTTAACGCATATTAATAAGCGGCTCTTAAGCGCGTTTCGCGTCTCGACGAGAGAATAATTTGCCGCGGGGAAGTTCGCGCCCCGAAGTAACCACGAAATCCGTGTCATCCCGTGATCCCGACTAACGGTCCAACCCTTCCCTCTTCTACTCCGTAACTGGTGGAATCGTGGACAGCCAGTGGATTCCCGGTAATTCGACGGATAGAAACGCCAACTTGCCTTCGACTTGCCTTCGACGAGCAGAAGGCACGCGTCTTCTGCACTCTAATCGCGACTGATTGCATTGGAATTCAGCGGAAGATAGATAGGTCACACATGGTACGTAGCGAGGCCTGCGGCGAGATTCGATGGAAATCACGTGAATTTGTTTGTACGCACTAGCGCCGCCACGTGAGCACGGAGATATGCAAACGTAGATGTCCCCCGGCTAATCTGCGCTGGCCCGTTACGACGCGACGCGACACGACGCGACACGACACAACGCGACACGACGAATAGACGAAACGGCGCGCGAACGTTTTCGCGTGCCGGTGAATTTCTGCGTCGAAACTGGAAGAGAACGGTGGAACGAGGATTCGGTAGAACGACGATTATAGACGGATAAAGGCGCAATTAGGATCTAGCTGCAGCGTGGAAACGATATCGTAACGTTGGCCTACGATTTTCCGTTAACATGCCCAAAGAACAGTGTAGCACGAAAAAACTGCCTATTCAATAATGCGGCAAGTATTTTTATCGTACCAGAAGTTCCCATGATCCAGGTAAATGATCTCAGCGTCTACGATTATATTTCCTTACTTGTCCCTCTGTATACGCATCGTGTACTTTCTCCAGTTTCTTTAATTGCGCCACGTTTTTGCCCCGCTGAAAGTTAATTGCTATACGATATGTCCTCTGTGGCCGGCCAAATTTGTCCGCGAAGGGAATTACGATGATAGGCGCTCTTTCGAGCAAGTTCGCATTCTTAAGCCGTAAGAAACCCAAAGAGAGCCACCTGTGGCTCGTAACGCGCAACCTTGCCAGCTGGAATGCATCATCCGATTTGCTTCGTGCAGAAACTACACCCATATCTCGGTTATCTCGAAGACAGGCAATACCAGTCGCGAACACGAATATATCCAAACGTTTTTATCGCGCTTGTTCGAAAGGAAAGCTATTCTCGTGCCGCGCAAGACCACATTCTTCGATAAGTATTACGGATATCAAACTAGAGAGGACTCCGAGACCCAACGTTTCGATGAAGTTGCAACTACTTAGCGACACCCTCCACGGCCCGTGTACATCCGAGTCACGGATACAGGTAGCCACGAGAGAGCATCGACCAAGAGAAAAGAGAGAGAGAGAGAGAGAGAGAGAGAGTTGAACACTCTTCACCGAATCGCGGCTATTTAACGCGGATATTCGGTGGGCGGTCATCTAACGGTCGACTATTCGCGTCTTTTGTACTTTCGCCCCGTGTGGCCTGGACGGTATAGACGGTACAGCTAGGACCTACCTCAACGACGAAGCTCGGCGACGGCGTTCCAACGAAATTCCTGAGAACCCGCGGTTGCGTGGAAAAAAGTAAGGCGCGCAAAGCCGGTGGACACCGGTGCAAGCGCATCTCTGCTGTTGGCCGGCAAGAAGATGGTGAAAAATGCGGTAATGACGCACTGTCCTCGCATTGCTCGCGACAATTATACCCCATTACGCCCGTCCCGCCACCCCCTTATCATCCAGATCGTGTCCGTGCCCGGACCGAGGTGCGTTGCGGTAGGTCGCGATGCGCGCCAAGTGTATACGTTCCCCGATTTATTACACGCCCTTTTCCGTCTATTGTTATTCCATCTCCACCATTTCCCGCTTCGCCATCCCCTCGCGTCAGCGAATTTACAATCCGGGGGATGCGTTGCTTTCCGCGTCCTAACTCCGAGTCTAACCTCGCGTAACCTCCAAACTAACGAACACCGGTCGATTGTCATGACGATCGGCTGTCTACAAGTGCCTGTCACTCTACAAACGGAATCTTTGAATCATTGTCGAAAACCTTATCCATCGTTTGAGTACTAGCTCGCGATTCTGTCGTTCGGTGTCTAAAGCTACCGGCTAATTGGTCAATAGCGTCCAAATAACCGGACACTAGAGTCTCCTGACGCGTGTCTTCACTGTTACCGTTCATCCAGGTTGTACTAAATCGAAACTAGGTAATATAATAGTCTAGAGACAAGTACAATCGTTTTGTTTGGCACTTTTTCATCGAATCTTGGCAGAGATCTGACACTCGAGCGATTCGGGTGTCAGAGACCCGATAGACACGCGGATAGCACCAAGAATGACAAGATACAGGTATCGACAGACTGGACCAGAGTATCAATCGACGCGATACTTAATTTCCTACAGGTAGTGGCTAACTGTTGCACACTCAGCGGGAGCAACGTGACGCACCGAAAATTTGACGAACCGGCGGGGCATCGGTCGGGTACCTTCGTGGCTCTCGAATGATCAACAGGTGGGTGTGTCGAGCGCGCACGCCAGCGTTTCAATCCATGTGAAATTTCTCAGCCGTTTCGCGTCGGACGTAGCCCCAAAAGCGCCTATATCCTGACACCGGCCAAGTGTCAACGAAGCAAGCAGGGATCACAACAGCGCGATAGAAGCTATTATTTCGCAGAGAAACAACCGGCGGAGAAGAGTCGATAAGGAGGACCGTTACAAGGAGAGTGACTAATGCGTTCATCGACTTGTTCACTAAAATGACGTCAAAGCATGAGAGAGAATGCCGGTAGGGACAAAAGATCGAGGAAGGAAAACTGTGCATGATCACGTTTGCGAGTGTGCATCTGCGTTGAAGGCTCGGCGAAACGCGACTATCTTCCATTTTTACGCCACTTCGCCTCCAAGATCGAGTTCTCTGACGTGATCGATAGGAGCGGCAGTCGTTAATCGTTAAGAGCGTTGCTCGCTACGTAATTCGAGCGGAGAGTCCGGGCTGCCGGCTGCAACAGGTGATTCTCCCGGGCCGGAGTCTCCTGCGCGCCAGTTTTGCCCCACGGTACAGTACGGATTCACGAATTACGGGAATTACAAGAAGGGAAACCCGAGCTCGGGTCGCGCGTTCGTTTCGTTACTGTGAACCCGACCGGTTAAAAGTAAAAGCGTGGAACGAACGGGGAAGAATTCAGAGCCGGGGAAAGATGCTGAACGATCATTACGTAAGAAGGTATTGATTTTACGTGAGTCAGCGTCAGGTGTGTTGATGTGTATTGCACGTCGAACGAAGAACGGGGACTTAAAGCGTTAATGAATGACACCTATAGCGATATGCGCGTTTTTGCTAACCGTAATTTGTCATAAGCCGGCTTAAGCCCACTGTACGGTAGAAGCAACGCGATTAAAGCGAGTACAGGCCTCGGCATT